AGATTTTCTTTCCAGTGCCTGAATTGTTCCATGACAGCACCAGGTTAAAAGTCATTCTGACTTCTCAGTTTAAATGGTGGTTGTTTTTGTTGTGTCTGTTCAGAGATCTTCCAGCCAAGAATCATCTATGCTGAAGTGCAATTTTACATTTGTGTGTGTATGCATGTAGTACTTGCAGTGTTTTGTTTCAACTCTGACTTGAAATTTTGTTGTGATTTGCTCAGAAGGAGCTCTCCAAAAATGTTTTGAGGCACATGCAGGTGAGAAAATAATTTGTCTGTCCAGGCAAGTGTAATGTGGAAGCAGGCAGCAGAGTAATTGTCATTGGTATGGTCTTTAACAGTTGACAGTTTGATACACACTTGATGGACAGCATTTTTCCCATCATAGTCAGCATTTTTATATGCAGGAGCAGAATTTAGAATTATTACTTTAACTATGTAGGTGATTTACGGTAAATCTCGACCCACTTACAGTATTCTGTCCAAGTGTATCTGTTGTTCTCTAAAATAGTTTTTCCCTGTTACCTGGAAGAACAAACAAACATTATGGTAGTTGCCACTGATGGATTGGCAACACATGTACTTGCATTTTCTATGTTCCTTGATTTGTCAGCTTAACCAAAAGTCATCTGAGTGTGTTTGCACCCAAAGCAATGCTAAAATCAAATTTTAGTACATAATTTGACTGCATTATAGATAGCACAGCTTACCAAAATGCTCATGGGTGATAAATTCTGGTTGTCTTCAGCAGTTTTCTGAGTTGGGCCCTATAACAGCAACCTGCAACCTAAATCCCAAAGAATAAAATTGTTTCAGCCTGGAGGTGAGTTGTGCTTTTCCAAGCAAGGAGACTTAAGAGCAAAAGAGTGAAATTAAGGAAGGGCTGGAATAAATTTTTTTTTGTGGTAGTCGTCACCCTGAGCAATACTCAGATTAGGCATCAAATTTGGTGCCAGAACGCAGAGTCTGGAGACCCTGAAGAGTTTAGGGGGACCCCAGGAAGGACAGCTAGAGCTCCAAAGTTCCCCTGACCGTGTTTGGATCCTGAACTCCAAACCTTACAGTATTTATCTGAGGTTGCATAGTGTTCTTAAACCCATCACTTCTTGTTAGGCAGCCCGCTCCTAACCTCAAATGCTGATTTTTGATCTGCCAAAGGGCTTAAGTGTGGCAGAGTGCTCTCTTAGTTAGGGTAAGTGTTAATGTCTGTGTACAGCTTTTTGGTGAAACGGGGAGGGTGGGAACCCCACCACATCAAAATAAGAAAATAGGTAAGGGAGACGTTTCTTTTGCGATTGTATTGATACAAGTTTTCTGTTTTTAATTGTGCACAAATGACTGAATTTCTCTCTGCTGTTTTTTTCTAATGTAACCAATTTAAATCTAAGTGTGGTTTCTACCATATGCTTGTTTCAACCATTTGCAGTTAAAAAAAATATTTCCAAAACGTAAGAGTTCAGGGAGAATACAGTTAAGGATGAATCTATGCAGACACTAATTTTTGAGGGTAATCCTAGCAAAAGGAAAAGATTGATCTACGTGGCTTGAAACTAAATGACACAGAGTTTACTTTAAGGGATGAAAACCGCAGGACTTTTTCTCATCGGCTTTGCCAGAGAATATATATTGTGAATAAGGTTTGAGACAGACACTTACGTTTAGAAGGTGCTGTGGTACCATAATAGAAGGTACTCTGTGCAAATTTTGAAAGAAGGTGAAATATACCCTGAAGTGATTGAGGTTAAAAGCTGTAACCAAATTTTAGTCTTGGACATATGTTTGAATTTTTGTTGTTTGTAAATTACTGATGCAGTGCAGCAAGATGAGGATAACTTAGGATTGTTTTAAACTTACAAACTCATTTAAAAAAAAACAAACAACTAGTTACCCTTATCTCGCTGGATTGCATCAGTAATTTACAAAGTGCTAACTCTGGCGCAAAACAGAAGTGCTTGTAAATAACGTGTTTCTGTGATCAACTTGGTATGCAGAAAGGAGTTTTTCTGTGTCTCATCATTCAGGAAAAGATGAATTTTCAGTTTGAGCTTACGCTGGTTGTTATAAATGTTCATCATAAAAAGAATAACATGGAAACACAGCATGACAAAAGAAAAGCAGGAAGAAAATGGATGACAATCTCATAAGTTAAAAATCTATATAATTGTCTTAGTATGTCTGTAATCAATGGCAGCAGTGGTGGTTTTTAATTGTATTTTATCCATGTCTAAGGAAGACTGTGATGAACAAATTCAAGGTATGTATGTATAATGGACATGGGCCGACTCCTGAGTTGGGCTGAGTCCTGGGCAGTGGGATTTGTGGAGGTTTCTCTTTTCCGAAGTGCAAGGGAGGATGATTGGTTTTCAAGAGCCCTGCGTATGCAGTACAGAAGAGGCAAGAAGAGGCTGAAAAAAGAAAGCCGAGATGGGGGAAGAAGTGTGGGCCAGAAGGTTTTCTTATGGTAGGAAGCAGCCTGAGCTGCAGAGGAGATGAGGGGAGATGGAGGAGAATTGGTTAGTTCAGGGAGCTGCTGAGAATTGCTGTCTCTTGAAAGGAGAGTACTGCTTCTTCTCAAGCCCGCACTGTGGGCCTCCCGCCTCCCCCCCGCCAGCCTCTTTAGCTGTCTGTGGGAAAATTTTTTTTTTTACCCTTCGTTCACTGTAGAAAAAGGAAAACAGAAATGAGAAAAGAGGCTGAGATGATGGCCTTGAAGAGTGTAAGAAACAGTATATTTGAATTTGGAATATGGCTCATTGAGTTGTGAAAGTTACAAATAAAAGTACCAATGCAAAGGGCTGTCTGGAAGTTTAGCAAGAGTGTTTCTCTGTACTGTTCATGTTTATGTCAAAAGGAGTTGGAGGCTAAATTATGCTGAATCATGCAAAAGTGTCTCAGCATCTGTATTCAAGCTGTTGTATTGAAGAGAGACTGAAAATTGGATACAGGTCATCAGAAACACTTTGGTCATACACAGAGAAAATATTTTAAAGAATAAGTATCTTGAAGGGAGTAATTTAAAAATACAACATTTCTTGGGTTTTAGCTTTTATACACTTTCATATCACATGTGCTGGGGGCGGGGAATTTCTCTTTAGCACTATGTGAAGAACAGGAATATTTGAGTGGAGAGATTTTGGTTCTCTGATATCTTTGGAAGGTCACACAAAATGAATAAATTTGATCAATCCCTTTCTTCAGAATCTCCTTGTAAAAATATGCATAGCTCTTGCATAGCTCTTGGTATCAAGGTGATAACTACTTGGAATAAAAAACAGTATTCACCTTTAGATTTTTGAGCATTCCCCCAATACCGGGACACAGATTTAAGTCTTACTCTTGCTTTTCTTAATGATTTCCTGCATAAGTGGAGATAGATGGGATTACCTGTGTATAAAAACTGTTGCTCACTCTAAGGGAGGGTAAGGGCATTAGGTTCTCTGGTCGTTGCTCAGTATCAGGTGCTGGTATTTATTCCAGCTATAATTACAAAGTGGTGCTGAGAGTGAATGTGTTAGTCACTCCAGCTTTGTTAGCATCTCTATAATGAGGAACCCGTTGCATGTTCAGACTTCTATTATAGATCTAGTAATTATGACTGCCATCAGTTCAAGCCACTATAGTTAATACTATAACTGACAGTTATAATCTTATTTTCACTCACATGCAACATTTGAAAAATTGTCTTAGACCAATGTTGTGGGTTTTTTTGTTTGTTTGCCTATGGAGAAATTATTTTGAAAAGACTTGGCGGAAAAAAAGTCTTTAATTTCATTTTGAATAATGTGAGAAATTCTCATATTATTAAAGATGTTTTCCCTCTTATCCCACCAGGAGGTTTTGCAGGGAGTGTTTTATAGCACCCGTGTATTCTGCTAACTGGACAGTTGTGTCACTAGAAGCTGCTGACTGGTCTTTGAGGTTATTCCCAGACAGTACATGAATAGTTGGTGAGTTCAACTGGAGATGCCTGCAAGAGGAAGCTGTTTAGCCTACAACTTCTCTGAAACAACTGCAACTGCCTGTGTCTGTTCCCTGGGAATCCTGGCAGTTGGTAGTGGGAGGCAGATCTGCTGTGAATAAAATCTCTTCCCCTTCTCCTCTTTATATCCTTATTTAGGTTGTCTCTGCAGAGCCAGCCCAAGGCATGTTAGATACTAAATGAAGTTAATGTAGGGAGTTATCTGTTTATCCTACAACTGCCTCTATACCCCAAAGCCTGTACTTGATCTGTCATTTACATGCCTCAGGTTGGGTTGGCACAGAAGTAGTCGTGATGGACTGTTGCATCTTGTGAGCTCATGGAAATAAAATTTATGACCGTGTATATTTGTGGTCATACCATCATATTCAAAGCTACCTTTCATACAGGTTAAATGTGGGCTTGTATAATTGGTATGCGAGAGGCAAGCCGTTGCTCACTTGGGCTTTTGGGCATAGACCAGTAGAAAGCAAGGAAGAGTTGAAAATGAGACACTGAGATCCTGGTTTGGTGGGTTAATGCAGAACAGTGCAATGGGAGCTGTTCTTGTTGTGGAGTGAAAGGCTGTAGACCAAAATGTTCTATTTTAGTTAGGTAACCACTAGTGGTTGTAGGAACTAACAGTAGCAGTCCAGTTCTTCCTGTGTTCACAGTTATTCTTTAGATCAAGCATATGATTTCCCTGGCAGAGCTTGATGGTACATGTGGTCATAGCTACATGCAACTACTCATTTGTTTTTCCGAGAAGGTGCCTTTTTCTCCCCATTTGTCAGCAGTTTTCACCTAATTTAGCAGCTTATGGATGAAAGCCTGTATAACAGAGCTTAAAATGTTCTAATTTCTTTAGCTTAGTAAATACTAAATGGCACAACCCCATCAAATTTAGTAATTTACCAGGTGGACACTGCCACAGATAAACTTATATTTAAGCTCTGTACACCTCTTAGCTAAATCACATGGAGCTTTACTTTGTGTTCCTGTAGCACCCTTGAACCATTCCTCTTTATTTTGTTTCTTAGGCACACCACTTCTAGTACGAAGGAGCAGTGATCCAGCCTTGGGCCCACCTGCTGACTTTCACCCAAGTGCTTCTCATCCCAGTGACCACAGCCTCAAGCATGGTTTGGCAGTAGGTGTCATGTAACTCATCTTTTTCTTAAGGGCAAAAACTGTTCTTACCTGTTGGTATATAGCAGTTTTATAAGCTATATGTGAATTTGGATCTAGAACAAAGTGCATCATACTAATTTTCTGTAAAGGAGAGAATTTCCTCTGGACAAAACGGTTATTTTAGATGGTACAGTCAATTAACAGTGGTTCTCTTCTTTAAAATGAGAGACTTACATAAAGCTGAATGGTGACATAAGATGCTGGAATATTGACTGAACTTTTAGCAGTTGTTTATTTGTTTGGTATCCTGTTGTCCATCTTACCATTGTTTAGTGGAAAAAAAAATTACTTCCCCTTTAATATGTTTGATTAGTCTTGCACCCTTTTTCACTTTTTCTTAAGGCATTTTTGTCTTCCTTTGGCACCTTGCTACTATCCTGCATGATCCCTTTCTCTCACTTTTCTGTTTACGACCTGACTCTTCACTTTTGAGGACAAATTTGTTTTCAACATATTTATTACTAAATATTAGTGCAAAGACACAATTAGTGAGGATGCAGTAACTGTTAATCAGATGTTATTGCAGGCTGTTTTCAGTCTTCTAAAAGTGATGCTGTCCTGGTCACACATGGGCCACATTTTTTACTTGGCAATTTTAAGGCCTGAAGTTTTGTGTTTGTGTGTAGGGA